ACACACTTTCTCCAACTCTTCCGTCACCTTAAAAGAAAAGTAATATTTTCTGTTGGAAACATTTAGAAAGCCTGACTTTGCTATTTTTTGTACAACTGAGACAGACCTTTATTCAGCGTCATCTTCACTGAGGAAATATGTCAGGCCATTAACAGGTACAGTTGCAAATGTGATCTTCATTTTCAATAGCAAACTCAATGAATTCATTTTTTATTTCATAAAACACAAGTATGGACCAAACATATGTGCAGAATTATTATAACTAATGGAGTTATTATAAATTATTTTGAGACTTGTAAGTGTTCTCATGCTTTACTGAGTGGAATTCATTATCACATGTTTCACCTGAGCAAAATGTTCCAAAACGGTTTCCACCTGCAAACTAGTCACTGAACAGGACTTCAGTGCCGTCATTATAATGTGAGTAATGTCTTTGCACCTGGTTTATGCAACTAATAACAGGGGTTGTCTGTACATGTTGTCTGTCTGACGCAATGGGTTGTTTTACTGTTAATGAAGACACAAAGACCCCGGCCCCATTTTCTCTGCTATTCACAGTTCAAAACCTGCCAAACCTGAAGGAAGTTCACACACAACCACAGAGTATCTGGCTCTGCTTTTCACAACCTGGCTGGTTAGATGAGGAAGATAAGCATCTCCATTACTGCTAACATATCATTATCTACACTGTGAAAAGAAAAATCATTTACTACAAATCAGTGAAAGACAAAGAGGGTTGAAGACCCCTGTGTTTGTTCAGAGTAACCTTTAGGACCCACATGTAAAAGACCCTTACACAAGTTACAATACATTAAGCTTTGGTTACAGAAGATGTCAGTTTAATAAATCTGCTCACCTATAGAATGTTTAGAAAGGCTCAATTTGCTTGCAGTTATTGTTTAAGCACACAATGGTCCACGCTCAGAGGAAGTCCACAGGAATTCCTGGCATCCTGAGCTTTAGTGCAAAGAGATCTCGGGCTGTTACTCCCTCCCTCTCAGTCTGAGGAGAGGAGGCTGTTCCTCAGGAGGGGAGGGACTAAACAGCTAGACATGCTGTATATCTGGTCAGTGAGCACTGAGGACTTCCTCTGAGATGTTGGGAGCACCTCAAACTCACAATGTCTTTCATACCAGCTGAGATCCACTGCTAACTAGCGCTAACCACAGTCTGACTGCATTCCAGAAACGTCAGGTAAGAGCAGATTTTGAAGAAGATTTTAGATTTAAAATCAAATTATTTGTTTCTAAAGTTCTAAAAGAAAAGGATCAGTCTTGTAATTAAGAGCTCATTATTTCAGTGAAAGTGTTCTATAATCCAAAGTAAAATCATATTCAAACTGTATCTTATTTTTTTCCTTTTGAGAGGGACAAGTTGGACAGAGACAGTGTAAACCAAATGTGAAGAAATAACTTTCCTAACAGTCTCTTGCAGCCAACACCCTGCTGATAAAAAGGGAAAGTAAACATTCCTCACTGATTACCTTTGACCACACTTGTTAATACAAAGTGTTACACAAAGAAGCCCCGTTTGTCACCGTTAAGGATTTTCACAAGTCTGAACACTGCATCTACATCACCCTCGAAGCTATTGACACGTGTGATGACAATCCTATATTTTCCGCAGCTACAGAAAATGTTATGTAACTCCACACTATACTCCACTGCCTCATTCATTCCTGTTTTCTTTATTGATGGGATGGTGTAAAGAATGCACTGCAATGATAATTAGTGTCAAAGATATGATGTGATGGGCCTTGCATAATGTATTTAACCCAAAGGTGAGAGCAGACAGGCAATTAGCAGTATGCTGTCAATCTCAAGATTTCCCAACTTATTTTTCTTCGAGGCACAAAGGTTGCATGTCTTCTATAAATTCTTCTCACCACTCACAGACAGATTCTTGGATCATTTCAAGCTAAAGTTCAGACAAGTAGGCGTAACTTCAATTTGCATATAACACATGCCAATCATTATGCATTCCTTGAGAAAACTTTTTTCAGTAATTCAATGTCAGTGAAGACAAACTACAAGGATTTGTCCATATTGAACTAGAGGTACAAAATGATTTTTTATTTTTTTTTAAGTTATCAGTAATCTATCAATATCTGAAAATAATGAAAGGCCAAGTCACCTGAATTTGCAGTGTAGGCTGAACAAATGTTAAAGTAACTGTATTAATGTCTTAGTTTATTGATTGGCTAGTTGATCAACAAGAAACTAACTGATGCCAAACATTACCTAGCTCCAGCTTCTTAAATGGTTTTCTTTGTTTAACTTTAAACTAAATTCAATATATTTGGCTTTTGGACTGTTGGACCGCCAAAAAAGATATCTGAAGATGTCACTTTGGGCTGTAAGGAATTTCGTTTTCATGATGTTTTATTTAAAAAACAATTAATCAAGAGCATAACAGGCTAATTAATCCATCAACTGCAGCCCTAATTACAACAGATTCCAAACGGCTGAGGAGGTGTAACTACACTCACTACTATAGATACACCTGTGCAACCTAATTCAATCCAAATACATCTGTTCTGTTTTAATGATGCTTATAATGATCAGGTTGATACTGTCATTGAGGTGTTAATTAAATTATATGTTTTAGCATTGAGGTTATAGTTAGTGGTGGTGCTGTAATGGTCAGTGCTTCTAATATTCTGCACCTCCATGTATGTAAATGGAAGAACATCAACAATAAAAACCTCTCTATATAATCTCCTTGATGCAAGAAGAAGTTTAACAACTGAAAATAAAGCCTCCTTTTATTCAAAGTGTTTATGAATGGGTACTGTTGGACTTCAGGGCAGGAAAGCAAACTTGACTAAAAGTCGACTGAACAGTAAACAGTGAAGTTACTGTATGTTAACACTGTGATAACTCTTTAGCTTTGTGCAGGTAATGCATTTCCCTTTTTACGATATGATAAGCAAACTCAGATGCTGTAATAAATGTAAAGTGAATGTTAGGCATCTTTAAAAACATTCAAACATTTACAGAGTGGGTAAAGTCTCAAACAGGCAGAGACACTGCAGTGCCTGCAGGCTGTTGTACAACTTTATATGAGCAGGTGTTTGTGTTTCTTGGCTTGTAGGGCTTGCGGGTGTTGCATTGCATGTAGTAAAACACAGTTCACACCTTTAGTCCACTGAGATTATAAATGACCGTATAGCACTATTTTTAACTACATGTAGTTATCACAGGCTATTGTTGAAAAAATGCTTGACTGACAGCTTTTAATTTCCACCTCATGCAGTAAAGCTAATTATGGTGGGTTTTTTGTGTTTTTTTTTTTACAAAATTCCCACTGTAAGTAACATATGGAAATAATAATGTACAGAACAGAGCCTTGTTCATGATCCTGATTTACCTTATAATTTTAGCATTAAATAATGAGTAGGTTTGTGAACTGGCTTGGTTTCCCTCCACACCCTTTTTTTTTGAGATTTCAGTCACTCCCACTCCCGTGGGTGGCGATGACATCATATATCACAGAAAGGGTGGAAAAATCCAGTGGTTTCGAAGTATGAGCTCATTTAATAGTACTGGAGGTGTTCAAACTTGAATGTTATGGAGGGTTTTGTAAGCATTTTTCATTACTGTAGCTTCTTATTTACTTTTGGATCCAAAATGGAAAATAAACAGAAAATAAAAGATATACAAAAATACAAGAAGTTATGCCACAATTAATTTCTTTTAGTATTCTAGAGTTAGATTTCAGCAAAAATAAAACTCTAATAAATCCTTTGTACCCTACTTGCTCAGCACCAAACAGCAGACAGACAAAATGAGCGACTAGCTGGTGGCAGTGAAAGAGATTTTCTGGGCAGAGACCAAAAACTAGAGGGGGAGAATCATGAGACTTGTAAAAATGGCATTTAAATGGTTAAGAATTGCATAGTGTTTGTGTCTGAAAAACTTCCATGCCAGTTGTTAAAACACTGCAACTTGCTGTTCCTGTTTTGAAGCATTATGTCATGTCATGCCAAAGCAAACACATGATGTGAAACATGTCCATGAACTGGCAGAGAGTTCATTTCTATCTGTGCAGTGACAGAATATGTATGAAGAAAGACTATTGTCACTATTGTACTACGCGTTCAAAAAAAGTTTGCACTAAGGTGCATAAATTCTGTAAGGTATGTACAGTTAATAGGAGGTGCTCGCAAGGTAGTTGTCATTGTAGTAGTAGTTATTGAATTACAAATATATCAAATTGTTATCTCTGCCAGGAGTAGGCATGAAGGGGATCTTGCGTTTGGTCATGTGTGTGTGAGAGAGAGAGATGATGCTTGTGAAATGTAATTGGGTTTGTGTGGTAGGAGGGGTGGCTGTCATACACCCATGTTCCGGTGAAGTGCACACAGCTTGTGTGAAGATGTGATTATTTGTAAGGATTTACACGTTGCTTAAGACATAAGCTGTTTAATTTGGTGATAACTTTCATTCCATCCGTGCTGTTTGTGCATTGCGTCGGCTGAACTAAGTTAGTGTCTTATTTTTGTTTTAGAGCTGGCATTGTCTGCAACTTAACGGAGGTGGTGAGTTTAACGTTTGTGTGGATTTGTGGTGAGATGCCTGATCATAAATGTTTTCACTTAGTTTCCATTTTCTACCTCTGAGAGCAGCACACATCCAATAGGCTACAGTCCCAAATGGGGTTCTGTGTCTGTCAGACGGTCTGACCGTATACCTTTATTCTCAAAATGTCAGAGAACACATATGTGGGATAGATTTTCAATGTGCAGAAATTTTTGAACATGAGCATCAAATGTGCTGAAACACAGGTGTGTTGCCCTTAGGGCAAGACAACATAACAGGAGTAAAGTCCAGGTGCTTATAAATAAATTTAAATGAATTAATTTATAATACATGTTAAAAGGTGCTACATGAACATGTAAAGAGGTAACTTACAAAAAAAAAAGACACAAAAGGGAAGACTAAATTGTGCATGCATAGCGTTGACTCATTAGGTATGATATTAAATATTAAAAAAAGTTAAATCTTTTTCAATTGAGCCTTACTGCATTATATTCCATTATATTTTTATATTTTGAATTGTCACCTGCCACCTGAATTTTGTGTTTTCTTTTATATAAAGATTTTTCTACCATAAATTAATGCAGAAACAATAATCATACTGCTCCACTGAATATAGTTTATTTCTGTTTACCATTTTAATAATTGCTTTTATATTAATTTATATTGTCTGCTATGTAGCAGAAGGGATTCACAAACTCAGTTTCACTCCACAACATGTTGGATTGTGACAAATAAATTAAACTCGTACCTTGAATTTAGTGCAGAAAAATTTACCAAAAAGGCAGGAAGTGAAGTCTTTACTTTTGGACCCCCAGACCCCCATTTACTATATCCCATCTAATGTTGAAACGACCCTTGCACACATCTATATAAGAAGACTCAACAATAATATGTTATACAAAAACACTTCATTAAAAACCAGCCTGCCCTGCACTCCCTGTTTCCCACCCGCATAGCCCCAGAACAGAGGTGGAAAGAGTACAAAAATATTATAAGTAAAAGTACCATTTCTTTGATTAACTTTTACTTAAGTACAAGTAAAGTTACTGGTATAAAAATCTACTCAAGTAAAAGAAAAATTAGCTCATTTAAAGTTTACTCAGATTAAAAGTTACTTTTTTAACCTCCTAAAATAACTGATTTATATTGATTTAATATCTTCTTTATTCGTATTTTACTCACTAATTAAATTGAAGTCTTTTGCGATTTAAGGGAACAAAGCCATATTGTGCTTTCAATTTTAGTTTTTTGACAGATACTTTTCCAAATCAATGGCAAAAAACACTGACATTTCATGTTATAATGAGATGTTTGAGAACGTTTTCGCTTCATTAGGAAACTGTGGCGGAACGGATTAGACTCTGGTGGGGCACATTGGACTGGGAAAACAGGAAACACTGGACTGTATAGTCATATCCCTATTTACATTCAAACAGGTGGTCGATTTGATGGGAAATCATAAGCTTTAGTATAATAAATAACTAGATACCAGAAAGTTGCTATTGCCAACCAACATTGTCAGCACTGATGTCTCTTTGACTAAAACTAATAAAAACGTAGCCTATTTCAAACCACCAATGGAAGTAGGCAATTATTTAACGGACCTCTATACATCAGGGGTCTTCAACTACATTTGTTCTAAACAGCCACTGTGGGAGCCAAACTTTCCAAAGTAATTGCCATATTAGGCTACTGTTTAATATTTTCAACTTTCGGAAAATGAACATTTTTATTAGCTTATGCCATTTCAGTGTGAACAGACTCCTATGCAGCTGTGCCGTTTTTCTGCATGACACACCTGTAGTTAACAGCAGATGCCTTTTAATGGACGTACCACAGGGCACAGACACAGCTAAACAAACTATTGTCGGGCAGTTATTGGTATTTTCCATAATTATGTGGGCAGTCATGATCTGACTTTATACTGCACACAACATGAGTCTGCGAACAGCAAAAGTGAAGTAGTTGGTTCCCTGGCAGAGAAGGTGAAGGTGTGCAGCCTGTCGCCTGCAGCTTTTTATCTAACAGTTCACTGTGTCTGCTCCTGACTGTTGCATTACTCACTGCAATATTTCAAACTGGTCCGCTGTCAGTAAAGTGTTGAAAATGACGGTTGTCTTGTGTAGACGCATTGTAGTGTTCTGCACGACAGCGGTCAGCGCTGACCTCTCTTACAAACAGATTGCCTTTCCTGTGACTACTTCAAAATAACAAGTCAATTTGTGTTTCGCCAAACGTTTGCAATGTGAAGCAGCAGCAGCGGAAAATATTCAGTTTGCATTAACACTTATTTAATACAGCATTTTTTCACAGCTTACACTGCATCATAATACTGTTGTTCTCTTGGACTTCATGCCAAAGTGGTCGCTTTATAATAACAGATCCAATCAACAATACTTTAAACAACCCATACTTAAGTAAAAGTAAAATTACAGATTTAAAAAACTACTTTAAAAAGTACAAGTACACAAAAAACTACTCAATTACAGTAACGTGAGTAATTGTAATTCATTACTTTCCACCTCTGCCTCAGACACATCTGGCAGAGATTTGCTCTCTACTGAGTACAACGAAGGTTAAAGTCAAGGGCAACTGGACTTGGTTGAAGATACTGGAAGACATTTCGTCCCTCATCCAAGGGACTTATTCAGTTCAGAACTGAAGAAGTTCCTTGGATGAGGGATGACTAAGAATCTTCACAGACATCTCTACTGAGTGCACTCTTCTAGTATTAAACTGTTTTAGAATTACTGACTAATTAAATACATTTATTCATGTTAGTCCATAAAATAACTTTTATTTCTACACAAAAGGAAGTCTGTACTGTCGAACCAGAAATACTGTTCATATCAGAAAAAACATTTACTTTCCTTTTGTTTTAAATGGGTAATTTACTTTTATGGCAAATATGTATTTGTATTGGATTGAGTGTACTGTACAACATCAGTACTGTATCAATATCACCCTCATCACAATCTTGCTCATTTTATCTTTGTTGATAACTAATCAGATGTCTGTGTGTAACAATTTTATTGTTTAGCTTTAAAACAAGTGAATACACTAAATATATACACATGTGCAATACTTGAAAAGAAGAAAGAAACGTCATAAAACAATTTCAACATCAAATCATAAACACGCTTGTGAGGAAGAGATTTTATAACCAAAACATACTGCTTGCTTTATCTCTACAGGAAGACGTTTTCAAAGCTCCACGACTCTGACCAAAGAAGTCAAGGTACCTTTGGGCTTCATCCAGGATTTTGGAAAGGTGCGGAGCATCTGAGGATCTGAGGCTGCTCACAGACTCATAAGGAATCTAAAAGGTTTGATATAAAGTTGAAGGACAGTCCATATATTGTAAAAGTTATCCACTAATTTGAAGAAATCAGAGTAAAGGTGGAACGGATAAAATAATTTTTACCATTGTACTGTCTTGCACAGGCTGATGATTAGAAGGCAGTTCATTATTCATTTTTTATACTAAAATACCATTCATTTATAGATTATACCTTCAGTGTCTTGCTGCAGCATATTACATTTTCCAAGGGCCATAGTGAACTTCAGAGTTGTAGTGTGTTGCTGCCTTACCTTCATTTAGGATTCATTTACAAGGTATTATAGGCAATTTAGGCATTTGCTTCACAGATTAAACATTTCATTAGTCTTCGCCAAAACTACACTTTGACTTTGGTTTCTTCTAAAAACTATAAGTGACAGTTCAAAATGCACAATAACCAGACAACACAAGTTTAGAATCAAGCAAGCTTTGCATATGAGGTTAATGTTTGCAGACATGGAGGGGATACTAATCACCACAGTAATGGGCTGGACAGCTCCATTTTAGGCCAACTGGGGTTTTTCAATTAGTCCAGAATTAAAAATACAAAATCAGCGTCAAACATGTAAAGTTAGCAGGAGAACACATTGTGAGGTAATGATCAGATATGCAGAACAACTGGAAGAGAATACATAATGAACGATGTTCAACTGTGTGATCATTTTGGAGGCTGCAGTTAAAATGTGTGGTGCAGGTGCTTCAATAAATCAGATGTAGAAATGTTCGCGGTTGAAAGCTTTTTGCTGGTCGCACAGAGTTTACAACAGACGACAATGTTCATTGCCTCTCAGACCTTGATACAATAATGACTGCGGTAATGTTGCAGCTGTGGAAAGAAGGCCTCTCACCTTCTCCGTTCTTCTTTTAGTTTTTGGCTGACATGAACAACGAAGTCCGGTGCCGCTAAGCCGCCACACGGTAGATTCATGTCAAGGATGGTGAATGGTAAATGATGCTATGGAGCTGTTGAATTGTATTGTGTTATAAAGATATGCGTTTCCAAAATAGTCTACCCTCATGTGTAACACAGCCCAATTCAATAGCACCATAGACTGCAGCCTCCAAAATGGCATTGAATTTGGTCTTCATGACAGTGGGATTTATTGAAGGGTTGTTATATTAGACTACGTTAGTATTAGTAAGTGGTCCAGTATCTAATAAACTGGGAACTGACAGCATTTCTCAGAATCTTTACCACTTTGATATAGTACGTAGTAAGTGTATGTACAGTTGATGAAACGCATATAACTTCAACACTGAACACAGTGTCTTGATAAGAATCGCTGTATCTATAAAATGTTGTTGTAAACACAAATTATGTTTTAATGTTACTTACAGACAATGCCTGCAATATACAAACCAAGCAACTATTTCTGTGTTACACAGCTCTTTAGGCCAAGATGGACTCTCTCAGTCAAGACACTGAGATGAAGAAAAATGGCTACACAGAAGTCCACGGACCTGTGGCTGGCATATTTCTGGAAAAAACAAAGGAGAAGATTACCATATATCAAGCCATGAAGAAACGTCTGCTTAAGCCAGGAACAGCATTAGCCCTGCTTGAAGCACAAGCGGCCACAGTTGGCATTGTAGACCCGATAAACAATCGAAAACTTCCTGTTGCAGATGCTGTTAAAGAGGGTATAGTTGGACCGGAGATGAAAGAGAAACTCCTCACTGCAGAGAAAGCCATCTGTGGCTATGTAGATCCCTACACCAACCAAATGATATCTGTATTCCAAGCTATGCAAAAAGATTTAGTCCCAAGAGATTATGGATTGAGGCTGCTGGAAGCACAGATAGCCACACAAGGCCTGTTTGATCCTGTTGAGAAGACAAACATTTCAGTTGAATCAGCGATTCAAAAGGGCTACTTTGAAAAAGGTATTCTCAATAACCAGATGTCAGAGCTCAAAGTGTTCTACAATCCAAGCTCACAAGAAAATCTCAACTACCAAAGTCTCTTAGAGAAGTGCACTGTGGAACCTGACACAGGCCTGGTGCTTCTTCCTGTTTGCATTACCTTCAAAGGTCTGCGAAGAGGTATTTCCTCTACTGCACTCCTTGAATCAAAGATCATCAATAAAGAAACATTTGATGACCTGCAGACGGGAAAGACCACAACACAGGATGTGATGCTGATGGAAACAGTGAAAGAATACCTGGAGGGCAAAGGCAGTATTGCAGGCATTGCTGTATTATCGTCAAATCAGAGAATTAGCATTTATCAAGCCATGAAGCAAGGCATACTGATGCCTGGAACAGCACTAGTGCTACTGGAGGCACAAGCTGCAACTGGATTCATGATTGATCCTGTAGGAAATAAAAAGCTCACTGTGGATGAGGCCATCAAAAACAAACTTTTTGGCCCAGAATATCATGCAAAGCTGCGTGCTGCTGAGCGAGCAGTAACTGGATACAAAGATCCATACTCAGGTGAAACTATATCCCTGTTTCAAGCACTATCAAAAGAGCTCATAGTTAAGGAACATGGGATCCGCCTACTTGAGGCACAAATCGCTACAGGCGGAATAATAGATCCAATCAACAGTCACAGACTTCCCATAGAAGTGGCCTTCAAGAGAGGTTATTTTAATGAGGAAATGAACACCATACTAGAGGATTCAGGTGATGACACAAAAGGATTTTTTGACCCAAACACAGAAGAGAATCTAACTTATCTTCAGCTGATGGAAAGGTGCGTCATTGATCCCATCACTGGACTGTGCCTCCTCCCACTCCTTGATAAGTCAAAAAGGCACAATTTTAACTTTATTGACTACCAAACTAAAATGGCCTTCAAAGAGGAGAATGTGAAAGTGACATGTGGTAAGTACATGGGAATGACTGTATCTCTGTGGGAACTCCTGATGTCTGAGTACTTTGATGAACATCAGAGGACAGACATCATTCAAAAATACAAAGAAGGGAAGCTAAACATCAAGATGATCATCACAATGGTTCTGGAAGTCATAGAAACATTTGTGAAAACAACTCCAGTCATTTTTGAAGGCATCAGAGATACTGTCACAGCCAAACAGCTTGTGGAGGCAGATATTATTAGTAAGGAGGTCCTGGAGGATCTGGAAAAGGGAAAAAAGACAGCAAAGGATGTGATAAATGATGAAAATGTGAACATGTACCTACAGGGTAAAGACAGCATTGCAGGTATTCTGCTTCCTGATTCTCAAATCATGACCATCTACCAGGCCAAACAAAAAGGAAAGTTGATGCCAGGAACTGCTCTGATTCTACTGGAGGCACAGGCAGCAACTGGGTTTATTATTGACCCCATTGGAAACAGGAAGTTTTCTGTAGATGATGCTGTCAAAGCAAAGATTGTTGGCCCTGATGTCTGCCAAAAGCTGCGCTCAGCAGAGAAAGCTGTAACTGGGTACAAAGATCCATATGATGGCAAAAAAATCTCTTTATTCCAAGCCATGCAAAAAAATCTCATCGTAAAAGACCATGGAATTCGACTCCTGGAGGCGCAAATTGCCACTGGTGGGATCATTGACCCAGTCAACAGCCATCGCATTCCTGTCCATGTGGCCTATAAGAGGGGATACTTTAATGAGGAAATGAATCAGATCCTAAATGATCCAAGCGATGACACCAAAGGATTCTTTGACCCCAACAACCATGAGAACCTAACATACTTGCAGCTCATGGCCAGATGTGTCACAGATCCCGTTACAGGCCTGTGCCTTTTGCCACTCAAAAGCAAAAGTAACAAAGTTAACATAGATAACAATATTAGAGAAACGTTCAAATCAGCAACAGTTACTGTTAAGTATGGCAGGTTCAAGGGCAAGCACACAACACTGTGGGATCTTATAAATTCAGAGTATCTGTCTGAGGACAAAAGACAGGAGCTTTTCAAGCTATTCAAGTCAAGAAAAATCACAATTGAGCAACTCATTGTCACCATTACAGAGATCATTGAGAGTAAGGAGATAAAACAGCAAGCAGGGCTGAACTTTGAAGGTCTCAGAGGAGAGATCTCTGTTGTGGATCTTTTGGAGCTTGAAATTGTGGATGAAAAAACATACAACAGTTTGATCGATGGAAACATGACAAGCACTGATGTGATGAAAATGGACAGTGTGAGAGCATACCTACAAGGGAAAAGTTGTGTGGCTGGGGTCATACTGCAACCCTCCAATCAGAAGCTAAGCATCAAAGAGGCACAGCACATTGGCATTCTCACACCTGGCACTGCCCTTTGCCTCCTTGAAGCACAAGCAGCCACTGGATTCATTGTTGATCCTGTGAAAAACAAAAAACTTACGGTGGAACAAGCTCTAAAAGAAAAAGTAATTGGTCCACAGATGTATGAAAAGCTTCTATCTGCAGAGAGGGCTGTTACTGGTTATACAGACCCATACAGCGGTCAAAAGATCTCACTGTTCCAAGCCTTGAGAAAAGATCTAATTGTCAAGCAGCATGGCATCCGTTTACTTGAGGCCCAGATTGCTACAGGTGGCATCATTGATCCCTTGAAGTGTCTTCACTTACCCCTTGAGGTTGCTTACAGGAAAGGATATTTTGATGCAGAACTTAATCAAATCCTATCAGACCCAACTGATGACACAAAGGGCTTTTTTGACCCCAGTACACAAGAAAATCTGACATACATGGAGATGTTGGGTAGATGTGTAAAAGATAAGGAAACAGGACTGTTTCTCCTGCCACTGAACGACACAGCCAAAGCTATGGGAACAAAGGTAAAAATATATACTGACACACAGATAAAGCAAGAGTTTGAAAAGACAGCTGTGAGCACATCAGTAGGACGCTACTCAGGAAAATCTGTTTCTCTGTGGGACTTGATTCACTCTGGGTACTTCACTGAAGATCAGCGTCTTGAATTAATTGAAAAATACAGAGCAAGGAAGATTAGCACAGAAACCATAATCACAATAGTGATTACCACCATTGAAAAACTGGAGAAGATTGAAACTCCCAAAATGATAATGGGCCTGCGAAAACCTGTCTCGTCACAGCAACTACTGGATTCTAATATCATTGATGCAAACATTTTCAAACAAGTGAAAGAAGGAAAACTCTCTTTTGAAGCAGTAACCCAACATGAACCTGTGAGTGGATACCTAAAGGGAACAGGAAGCATTGCTGGAATTAAAGTTCATCCATCCCAGAAAGTAATGAGCATATATGAAGCAAAAACAGAAGATCTGTTGACACCTGGGATTGCACTTGTACTGCTTGAAGCGCAGGCTGCAACAGGATGGGTCATTGATCCTCTAAAAAACAAGTTCTATGCCGTTGATGAAGCAGCTCGAGAGAAAGTAATTGGACCAGATGTACTTGAGCAACTTCTCTCAGCTGAACGAGCTGTCGTCGGCTATAAAGATCCATACACAGATGCAACAATATCACTGTTTGAAGCCATGAATAAACAGCTGGTTCAAAGAAGTGACGGCATTCGTCTTCTTGAGGCACAGATAGCCACTGGAGGAATAATTGACCCAAATCAAAGTCACAGGTTACCAGTTGATGTTGCTATTAAAAAGGGGTGTCTGGATGGAGAAATGAGCAAAATTCTGTTGAACCCCACTGACGATGCAAAGGGATTCTTTGACCCAAACACCAAAGAAAACCTCTCCTACCTTCAGCTCATAAAGCGATGTGAAAAAGATCCTAAAACTGGGCTACTTCTTCTACCCTTGTATGAAAAGGACTCCCATGTATTTCACACAGATGAGAAAATAGAGCTTGCATTCAAAAACAAAACTATTGCCATGAATGCAGGAAAATTTAAAAACAAACAGGTCACACTGTGGGAAGTGTTGCTCTCTCAATACATATCAGAACAAAAAAGGCAGCAGCTCATACAACAATACAAGACAGGAGCCATAAAAATAGAGGAGATCATTGAAATACTCACCAGTATCATTACAGAGGTATCATCCAAAGAAAGAAAGTTCAAAGGACTAAGAAAGCAGGTCTCAGCCAGTGAGTTGTATGAGTCAAAGATCATCTCAAAGGAGCTTTTCACACAGATTATACAAGGAGATGTAACCGAAGAGAATGTCAACACAATGGAATCAATTCAAAAGTACCTTGGAGCAACAAACTGTATAGCAGGTGTCAGAGTGGAATCTACAAAGAAAGTTATGAGCATCTATGAAGCCAAAAGCAAGGGACTGCTGACTCGTGGTACTTCTCTGGTTCTGCTGGAGGCCCAAGCTGCCACTGGCTTTGTCATTGACCCGGTGAACAACAAGAAACTTTCTGTCGAGGAAGCTGTAGCTCAAAGAGTGGTTGGCAGTGAGTGGAAAAATAAACTGCTCTCAGCAGAAAGAGCAGTGACTGGATACAAAGATCCCTACACTGGAGACACAATTTCTTTGTTCCAGGCCTTGAAAAAAGATCTCATTGTGAAAGATCATGGAATTCGCCTTCTTGAAGCTCAAATTGCCACAGGAGGCATAATTGACCCAGTTCACAGCCACAGAGTACCTGTACAAGTGGCATACCAAAGAGGTTATTTTGATGAGGAAATGAATCAGATTCTGTCTGACCCTGATGATGACACCAAAGGATTCTTTGATCCCAACACTCAAGAGAACCTCACCTATCTCCAGCTGGTTGAGAGGTGTGTCACAGATCCTATCACAGGCCTTAACTTACTATCCATTGTAAAAAAAGGCGAGTATTATTTCTTTGTTGATGAGGCAACAAAACACATTCTGAAATCTAAAACAACAACCAGAGCAGGAGGGAAATACCAAGGGACAACAGTGTCTCTGTGGGATCTGCTTTACTCCAAGTACATCACTGAGGAGAAGAGGAGAGAGCTTGTGCAACAGTACAAGACTGGATCAATCACAATCGAACGCTTTTTGGAGATCATCCTAACAATCATTCAGCAGCAGACCACAACAACATCATCATCATCGTCAACAACCAAAAGCCAAATACCAGAAACAAAAGTGGACAGTAGCACAACAAAAACTACTGTGACCACTACAATCACAGAGACAAGTCAAGTTGAAAACTTCCATGGAATCAGAAAGGATGTTAGTGCTACTGAGTTGCTGGAATCAAAAATCATTGATGAGGACCTCTACAAAAATCTTAGAGCTGGAAAGGTCACAGTGACAGAAGTAAGTAAAATGAATTCAGTACGTAAGTATTTAGAGGGAACTAACAGCATTGCAGGGGTTTACCTTCAGTCCACAAAACAGACCTTAACCATCTATGAAGCCAAAAGCAAAGGCCTGCTGACCCCTGGTACTTCTCTGGTTCTGCTGGAGGCCCAAGCTGCCACTGGCTTTGTCATTGACCCGGTGAACAACAAGAAACTTTCTGTCGAGGAAGCTGTAGCTCAAAGACTGGTTGGCAGTGAGTGGAAAAATAAACTGCTTTCAGCAGAAAGAGCAGTGACTGGATACAAAGATCCCTACACTGGAAACACAATTTCTTTGTTCCAGGCCTTGAAAAAAGATCTAATTGTGAAAGATCATGGAATTCGTCTCCTTGAAGCACAAATTGCCACAGGAGGCATAATTGACCCTGTTCACAGTCACAGAGTACCTGTACAGGTGGCATACCAAAGAGGTTATTTTGATGAGGAAATGAATCAGATTCTGTCTGACCCTGATGATGACACCAAAGGATTCTTTGATCCCAACACTCAAGAGAACCTCACCTATCTCCAGCTGGTTGAGAGGTGTATCACAGATCCCATCACAGGCCTGAGTTTGCTGGTCATTGTTAAGAAAGGAGAGTTTTATTTCTTTGTTGATGAGGCCACAAAACGCATTCTGAAATCCAAAACAACAACCAAAGCAGGAGGGAAGTACCAAGGAACAACAGTGTCTCTGTGGGATCTGCTTTACTCCAAGTACATCACTGAGGAGAAGAGGAGAGAGCTTGTGCAACAGTACAAGTCTGGATCAATCACAATCGAACGCTTTTTGGAGATCATCCTAACAATCATTCAGCAGCAGACCACAACAACATCATCATCGTCGTCAACAACCAAAAGCCAAATACCAGAAACAAAAGTGGACAGTAGCACAACAAAAGCTACTGTGACCACTACAATCACAGAGACAAGTCAAGTTGAAAACTTCCATGGAATCAGAAAGGATGTTAGTGCTACTGAGTTGCTGGAATCAAAAATCATTGATGAGGACCTCTACAAAGATCTTAGAGCTGGAAAGGTCACAGTGACGGAAGTAAGTAAAATGAATTCAGTACGTAAGTACTTAGAGGGAACTAACAGCATTGCAGGGGTTTACCTTCAGTCCACAAAAGAAACCCTAACCATCTATGAAGCCAAAAGCAAAGGCCTGCTGACTCCTGGTACTTCTCTGGTTCTGCTGGAGGCCCAAGCTGCCACTGGCTTTGTCATTGACCCGGTGAACAACAAGAAACTTTCTGTCGAGGATGCTGTAGCTCAAAGAGTGGTTGGCAGTGAATGGAAAAATAAACTGCTTTCAGCAGAAAGAGCAGTGACTGGATACAAAGATCCCTACACTGGAAACACAATTTCTTTGTTCCAGGCCTTGAAAAAAGATCTCATTGTGAAAGATCATGGAATTCGTCTCCTTGAAGCTCAAATTGCCACAGGAGGCATAATTGACCCTGTTCACAGTCACAGAGTACCTGTACAGGTGGCATACCAAAGAGGTTATTTTGATGAGGAAATGAATCAGATTCTGTCTGACCCTGATGATGACACCAAAGGATTCTTTGATCCCAACACTCAAGAGAACCTCACCTATCTCCAGCTGGTTGAGAGGTGTGTCACAGATCCCATCACAGGCCTGAGTTTGCTGGTCATTGTGAAGAAAGGCGAGTTTTATTTCTTTGTTGATGAGGCCACAAAACGCATTCTGAAATCCAAAACAACAACCAAAGCAGGAGGGAAGTACCAAGGAACAACAGTGTCTCTGTGGGATCTGCTTTACTCCAAGTACATCACTGAGGAGAAGAGGAGAGAGCTTGTGCAACAGTACAAGTCTGGATCAATCACAATCGAACGCTTTTTGGAGATCATCCTAACAATCATTCAGCAGCAGACCACAACAACATCATCATCGTCGTCAACAACCAAAAGCCAAATACCAGAAACAAAAGTGGACAGTAGCACAACAAAAACTACTGTGACCACTACAATCACAGAGACAAGTCAAGTTGAAAACTTCCATGGAATCAGAAAGGATGTTACTGCTACTGAGTTGCTGGAATCAAAAATCATTGATGAGGACCTCTACAAAGATCTTAGAGCTGGAAAGGTCACAGTGACGGAAGTAAGTAAAATGAACTCAGTACGTAAGTATTTAGAGGGAACTAACAGCATTGCAGGGGTTTACCTTCAGTCCACAAAACAGACCCTAACCATCTATGAAGCCAAAAGCAAAGGCCTGCTGACCCCTGGTACTTCTCTGGTTCTGCTGGAGGCCCAAGCTGCCACTGGCTTTGTCATTGACCCGGTGAACAACAAGAAACTTTCTGTCGAGGAAGCTGTAGCTCAAAGACTGGTTGGCAGTGAGTGGAAAAATAAACTGCTTTCAGCAGAAAGAGCAGTGACTGGATACAAAGATCCCTACACTGGAGACACAATTTCTTTGTTCCAGGCCTTGAAAAAAGATCTAATTGTGAAAGATCATGGAATTCGTCTCCTTGAAGCACAAATTGCCACAGGAGGCATAATTGACCCTGTTCATAGTCACAGAGTACCTGTACAGGTGGCATACCAAAGAGGTTATTTTGATGAGGAAATGAATCAGATTCTGTCTGACCCTGATGATGACACCAAAGGATTCTTTGATCCCAACACTCAAGAGAACCTCACCTATCTCCAGCTGGTTGAGAGGTGTGTCACAGATCCCATCACAGGCCTGAGTTTGCTGGTCATTGTGAAGAAAGGCGAGTTTTATTTCTTTGTTGATGAGGCCACAAAACGCATTCTGAAATCCAAAACAACAACCAAAGCAGGAGGGAAGTACCAAGGAACAACAGTGTCTCTGTGGGATCTGCTTTACTCCAAGTACATCACTGAGGAGAAGAGGAGAGAGCTTGTGCAACAGTACAAGTCTGGATCAATCACAATCGAACGCTTTTTGGAGATCATCCTAACAATCGTTCAGCAGCAGACCACAACAACATCATCATCATCAACCACCAAAAGCCAAATACCAGAAACAAAAGTGGACAGTAGCACAAGAAAAGCTACTGTGACCACTACAATCACAGAGACAAGTCAAGTTGAAAACTTCCATGGAATCAGAAAGGATGTTAGTGCTACTGAGTTGCTGGAATCAAAAATCATTGATGAGGACCTCTACAAAAATCTTAGAGCTGGAAAAGTCACAGTGACAGAAGTAAGTAAAATGAACTCAGTACGTAAATACTTAGAGGGAACTAACAGCATTGCAGGGGTTTACCTTCAGTCCACAAAAGAAACCCTAACCATCTATGAAGCCAAAAGCAAAGGCCTGCTGACCCCTGGTACTTCTCTGGTTCTGCTGGAGGCCCAAGCTGCCACTGGCTTTGTCATTGACCCGGTGAACAACAAGAAACTTTCTGTCGAGGAAGCTGTAGCTCAAAGACTGGTTGGCAGTGAGTGGAAAAATAAACTGCTTTCAGCAGAAAGAGCAGTGACTGGATACAAAGATCCCTACACTGGAGACACAATTTCTTTGTTCCAGGCCTTGAAAAAAGATCTAATTGTGAAAGATCATGGAATTCGTCTCCTTGAAGCACAAATTGCCACAGGAGGCATAATTGACCCTGTTCATAGTCACAGAGTACCTGTACAGGTGGCATACCAAAGAGGTTATTTTGATGAGGAAATGAATCAGATTCTGTCTGACCCTGATGATGACACCAAAGGATTCTTTGATCCCAACACTCAAGAGAACCTCACCTATCTCCAGCTGGTTGAGAGGTGTATCACAGATCCCATCACAGGCCTGAGTTTGCTGGTCATTGTTAAGAAAGGAGAGTTTTATTTCTTTGTTGATGAGGCCACAAAACGCATTCTGAAATCCAAAACAACAACCAAAGCAGGAGGGAAGTACCAAGGAACAACAGTGTCTCTGTGGGATCTGCTTTACTCCAAGTACATCACTGAGGAGAAGAGGAGAGAGCTTGTGCAACAGTACAAGTCTGGATCAATCACAATCGAACGCTTTTTGGAGATCATCCTAACAATCGTTCAGCAGCAGACCACAACAACATCATCATCATCAACCACCAAAAGCCAAATACCAGAAACAAAAGTGGACAGTAGCACAACAAAAACTACTGTGACCACTACAATCACAGAGACAAGTCAAGTTGAAAACTTCCATGGAATCAGAAAGGATGTTACTGCTACTGAGTTGCTGGAATCAAAAATCATTGATGAGGACCTCTACAAAGATCTTAGAGCTGGAAAGGTCACAGTGACGGAAGTAAGTAAAATGAACTCAGTACGTAAGTATTTAGAGGGAACTAACAGCATTGCAGGGGTTTACCTTCAGTCCACAAAACAGACCCTAACCATCTATGAAGCCAAAAGCAAAGGCCTGCTGACCCCTGGTACTTCTCTGGTTCTGCTGGAGGCCCAAGCTGCCACTGGCTTTGTCATTGACCCGGTGAACAACAAGAAACTTTCTGTCGAGGAAGCTGTAGCTCAAAGACTGGTTGGCAGTGAGTGGAAAAATAAACTGCTTTCAGCAGAAAGAGCAGTGACTGGATACAAAGATCCCTACACTGGAGACACAATTTCTTTGTTCCAGGCCTTGAAAAAAGATCTAATTGTGAAAGATCATGGAATTCGTCTCCTTGAAGCACAAATTGCCACAGGAGGCATAATTGACCCTGTTCATAGTCACAGAGTACCTGTACAGGTGGCATACCAAAGAGGTTATTTTGATGAGGAAATGAATCAGATTCTGTCTGACCCTGATGATGACACCAAAGGATTCTTTGATCCCAACACTCAAGAGAACCTCACCTATCTCCAGCTGGTTGAGAGGTGTGTCACAGATCCCATCACAGGCCTGAGTTTGCTGGTCATTGTGAAGAAAGGCGAGTTTTATTTCTTTGTTGATGAGGCCACAAAACGCATTCTGAAATCCAAAACAACAACCAAAGCAGGAGGGAAGTACCAAGGAACAACAGTGTCTCTGTGGGATCTGCTTTACTCCAAGTACATCACTGAGGAGAAGAGGAGAGAGCTTGTGCAACAGTACAAGTCTGGATCAATCACAATCGAACGCTTTTTGGAGATCATCCTAACAATCGTTCAGCAGCAGACCACAACAACATCATCATCATCAACCACCAAAAGCCAAATACCAGAAACAAAAGTGGACAGTAGCACAAGAAAAGCTACTGTGACCACTACAATCACAGAGACAAGTCAAGTTGAAAACTTCCATGGAATCAGAAAGGATGTTAGTGCTACTGAGTTGCTGGAATCAAAAATCATTGATGAGGACCTCTACAAAAATCTTAGAGCTGGAAAAGTCACAGTGACAGAAGTAAGTAAAATGAACTCAGTACGTAAATACTTAGAGGGAACTAACAGCATTGCAGGGGTTTACCTTCAGTCCACAAAAGAAACCCTAACCATCTATGAAGCCAAAAGCAAAGGCCTGCTGACCCCTGGTACTTCTCTGGTTCTGCTGGAGGCCCAAGCTGCCACTGGCTTTGTCATTGACCCGGTGAACAACAAGAAACTTTCTGTCGAGGAAGCTGTAGCTCAAAGACTGGTTGGCAGTGAGTGGAAAAATAAACTGCTTTCAGCAGAAAGAGCAGTGACTGGATACAAAGATCCCTACACTGGAGACACAATTTCTTTGTTCCAGGCCTTGAAAAAAGATCTCATTGTGAAAGATCATGGAATTCGTCTCCTTGAAGCACAAATTGCCACAGGAGGCATAATTGACCCTGTTCACAGTCACAGAGTACCTGTACAGGTGGCATACCAAAGAGGTTATTTTGATGAGGAAATGAATCAGATTCTGTCTGACCCTGATGATGACACCAAAGGATTCTTTGATCCCAACACTCAAGAGAACCTCACCTATCTCCAGCTGGTTGAGAGGTGTGTCACAGATCCCATCACAGGCCTGAGTTTGCTGGTCATTGTTAAGAAAGGAGAGTTTTATTTCTTTGTTGATGAGGCCACAAAACGCATTCTGAAATCCAAAACAACAACCAAAGCAGGAGGGAAGTACCAAGGCACAACAGTGTCTCTGTGGGATCTGCTTTACTCCAAGTACATCACTGAGGAGAAGAGGAGAGAGCTTGTGCAACAGTACAAGACTGGATCAATCACAATCGAACGCTTTTTGGAGATCATCCTAACAATCATTCAGCAGCAGACCACAACAACATCATCATCGTCGTCAACAACCAAAAGCCAAATACCAGAAACAAAAGTGGACAGTAGCACAACAAAAACTACTGTGACCACTACAATCACAGAGACAAGTCAAGTTGAAAACTTCCATGGAATCAGAAAGGATGTTAGTGCTACTGAGTTGCTGGAATCAAAAATCATTGATGAGGACCTCTACAAAAATCTTAGAGCTGGAAAAGTCACAGTGACGGAAGTAAGTAAAATGAATTCAGTACGTAAGTACTTAGAGGGAACTAACAGCATTGCAGGGGTTTACCTTCAGTCCACAAAACAGACCCTAACCATCTATGAAGCCAAAAGCAAAGGCCTGCTGACCCCTGGTACTTCTCTGGTTCTGCTGGAGGCCCAAGCTGCCACTGGCTTTGTCATTGACCCGGTGAACAACAAGAAATTTTCCGTCGAGGAAGCTGTAGCTCAAAGAGTGGTTGGCAGTGAGTGGAAAAATAAACTGCTTTCAGCAGAAAGAGCAGTGACTGGATACAAAGATCCCTACACTGGAAACACAATTTCTTTGTTCCAGGCCTTGAAAAAAGATCTAATTGTGAAAGATCATGGAATTCGTCTCCTTGAAGCACAAATTGCCACAGGAGGCATAATTGACCCTGTTCACAGTCACAGAGTACCTGTACAGGTGGCATACCAAAGAGGTTATTTTGATGAGGAAATGAATCAGATTCTGTCTGACCCTGATGATGACACCAAAGGATTCTTTGATCCCAACACTCAAGAGAACCTCACCTATCTCCAGCTGGTTGAGAGGTGTGTCACAGATCCCATCACAGGCCTGAGTTTGCTGCCTTTGCACAAGTGAAGGAAAGAAACCATTTCTACAAGCATTTACTTTTATGTCTTGCTTTCATTATTAGTTTTATTTTCTCTTTCAGTTACAAAATATTTTACATCTCTTTTTAAATGCATTTTCGGTCGTCTTTAAAAACCTGGAGAGAAAGGCCTTTATACTGTATTGTGTTGAATAATGTCAGTTATTTGTGGTTGAAAAAGAGAACAAGGAATGGATTACAGAAAATGTTCTATGCTATAAATGAAGAGGTGATTAGTTTTTTTGTTACAAAACAAGGGCTGTGGCACTGATACACCAAATTAGAATTCAGCCTTTATTTAAACAGTTTTCAGTTTGCATTTATGATACTTCTTCTCACCGTTTTAACACCATTTGTGGGATCTATGAATTTGATTGTTTTTTCACTACTTTAACTATGTGGGATTCAGCTGCGCCTATTATTACCTTGCCTTTAGAAGCTGGACGTATGTCATGTAAGACATAACATTTGGGCAAAAGCTTTTCTTACTGAATTGTGCTTTCTGTTAAGTCAAATGTGAGTCTAGTGGATCTAGTTTTGTTGTGCCTGCTTTGACCTCACACGCAAGCCTGACATGCACTAATTGGTCTGTTTTACTGTAAATTCTTTCTTGCTCAAACTGCTTCACTGTGTGGCCGAATAAATAAGTGAGATGTGTATACTATATTTTGGCCTGTTTTGTTTTTTCAACAACTCTGCTAGAACTTGTTGGAATTTCTGGAATTATTATACTTACTTAACATGTATTAGCTCTGTACAATACATACTGTGCAAGAATTTCCTGAAGATTACTTAGATTGGTTAGACACCTTTTAGAGCTGTTTAAGCACCCAGAGTACTTCAACAATATTAACAAATTAAATTTCAACAATTGTTGTAAGACAGACCACATTTGGTCATTCTGTAAATTTAGCTTTACCGGCAGCACTCTCTAGTGGAAAGAAAGTATATAACCAACTTTAACAAGATAGACATTTTTTATTTCAAATATCTCTTGACAAAGATGTTACTGTGACTTAGTGTAAGAAAGCAGTGAAAAATTGCATTCAAGAAATTCTGGTATACACAACTGAATGTCCCTGTAGGTTTACAATTTAGGTAATTCATATAAATGTATTCAAATCCAACATGTCAGTGTCACTCCTTAAGCTACGTGTAGACTGTGCTTTTACTGACTCTTATCTGACCTATTATTAATACAGCAGCAAAAGTTTTTTTTTCTTGATTCCAAACCCTTGGTCTCAGCTTTTTAGCAACAGTAAGGAGTGCTTGAATGCTTCGAAGTTGCATGAATTGTTCTGTGTGAACAGTATACATATATAACATTTACAAAAACACCTGAATATCCACATTATTTAAACACATAAACTGTATATAAAGATATATACAGTATACAGTCTATGCTTGAACAACAAATCCACAAAGAGGCATGTTTTAAGATATTGATGTATGCCTTCTAAATTCGGTTTATGATTTCTGGAATCAAACGAATATCTGAACTACTCCAATTTGTCCAGCAGTTGACGAATGTCTTCCTGGCCACGGTAAATTCTCTTCAGTCCTCTTGGAAGATAACGGCAGGAGGAAAGGTTGAGGTAGCTAAGAGCAGTCATTTGGCCGATGACAGACCTGCAAAATAAAGTACAAATTTTTTTTGTGTCCTTGTGAAATCCTTGAAAAGATATTTGACAATGCTAGACCCGCAGTGCTCAGGATTTACCAACTTGAATGCGATTCTCAGTTTTGTATGCCAGCCAATTGTCTCTTTAAAGTGTTGGTTCATACTTTTTGGGATTATTTGGACTAGTAGCGTTAAGAAGTTAAACTAGCGAGTACCTGAGGGCAGGTGGTGTGATCCTGGTCCCACTCAGGTTGAGTGAACGCAGGGTCTCAGCCTCTGTTGCCTGAGCAAGGTGACTCATTGCTAACTCCAGGTCCTCCTCAGTGAACAGCTGATTTGCAATGTCAAGCTGTTGCAGTGTTTGACTCCATTTCCGGGTCACCATGTGAAGCCCCGCCTTTGGTGACGACAACCCAATGTTGCTGCTAAAATACTGTCCCCAGAACAGACACTCGAGCTCTGCCAAATCAAACACAGGAGGTAGCATTGATTAACAAACTGGGTTTGGATGCAAATCCCATTCAGTTTTATTTATATAGTGCCAAATCGTAATAGAGGTTATCTAATTCTTAATAGAAGACTCATATCACAGATGCAGCTTGGTATAGTAAATTAGAAGAAATTACTATACCTTTCTGTAAAGTAATCAAAGGCACAAAGTATACAAAACTGTCAAATTATGTATTTCTATTTCCTCCAATACATACTTTGTTTACAAACATTGTGGATTAAATAAGACCATCGTTAGCTTTTCGGTATAGGCCCCAAATTAAGTCCCATTTTAAATCATATTTAAGTCACTTATTACTCCAAAATTTACATTACAGTATAAATTTCATGACTTAGCCCTACCGAGGCATGGTAGTGTTGCAAGGCCAGATGGTGTGATTCGTGAACAGCCTCGCAGGTCCAGCACCCGCAGCCTGGTGGAGCCAAAGAGAATGTCCCACAAATCTTTGTCGGTCATATAGGAATAAGACGTAGTTGCGATACATAGCTCCTCCAGTAACGGGAAGCCTAATGTCGAATCAGCACCATTACGCATTGTCTTATGCAGAGGTCTGACATTCAGCATCCGGAAGGTCTGATAAGAAGTACAATAGATAGAATAGATGTACAACTTTCATAGGTGAACACATATATGACACATAACATGGAAAATGCGAAACTTATCAAAAGTCTAAAGTCTTGTTTTGTCCTACCAACAGACCAAAACCCAAATCTATTCAGTTTACAGTGATAGATGACAAAGAAAAGCTGAAGTTCAGCATTTTTGCTTGAAAAATGACTGAAGTGATTAATCAATTATCAAAATACTTACCAATTAATTTCCTGTTGATCGAATAATCAATTGCTTCAGTTTATATAGCATTACACTTCATGTGTACACAAGATTTGTAATCACCATTTTTTTCATTTAACAGCACTGTACCTCCAAAGCAAGGAATTTATAGTGGCACATGCATAAAACACTATCATACAATTACCATTGCAAATGAGTTACATTTACATATAGTCACAAAAGTCACATTGACACAGAAGACTGAAATGTTTGATTAGATTTTTTTTTTTACCTTGAGTTTAGGTGATGCCATCTGTAGTGCCTGGATGCAAACTGGAAGTTCACAGTCTTTACTGTCAAGCTTTGTGTTTACTTCCAACAACTCCAAATCAGGACAGTAGCCCCTCTGAAAAAAAACAAACAAATACTATAAGTTGTCTGTACTAAGTTGATCCATGCTCCGTGGCTTGGGTTGTGTGTAATGCATATATAAAAATAAAAACATAGGAAGATAAAAGGTGGGGTGAGATGGGCTTACGGTGATGGCAGTTAGAAGTCTGTCATTCTTTAGTCCATGAGTGAACAATATTTGCTTTATCTGGCTCCCATGATTTTCAAGGAACTCCAGGACTCCTTCAACCTGAAACTAGAGCAAAAACAAGTGCTCTACAAATCTACAATATTTATCTGTCTATATGTCACCAAGAAGGTTGGAAATAAACATCTGCCAGGACTTGCTTGTTATAAGGTACAAGATAAATGTATTTGTCATATTAAAACAGGGTTGTAAAATGAGATGCAATTTGAAGTTCCCTTTATGCTACAGGGTGAACAGGCTGTGGCTGTGGTGGATATCAATGGTGCATCAAATTGGCTATTAGCTATCCAAGATTTAGAGATCCTGTTATTTTTCATCCTTCCTTCATGTTTGTCTAACTGTTGGATCTTTTTGCTTTTGCTTTTATTGTCCCACATACACAAAGCACCAATGAAAAATACTTTGGACAATCATGTATCGAAGTGAATGAAAGAATATTCTTTACCTGAGGAGGTTTTAAAATTGACAGTGGCTGATATATTTCAGGGTGCCTTCACCACCACCAAAACATTTTTTATTACTGTTAAACTAATACCATCCAATATATTTTTCTACAAAAAGGTTTACTGAGCTGGTTCTTGATGTACCTCTGAATACTGGAGATTTATGCTCTGCAGAGACCGGCTGTGCAAACCAAGGCTATGGAAGGCCCCTGCTGTCAGGCCTGTACAGTAGGAAAGCTTGAGGGAGCGAAGGTGAGGGCAGAACTGCGACACAACCTAAATTTCATCACATCATAAAACAGAAACAAACAAAAATGAACACGAAACATGTTCATAAGTAGAATTCTTAGGGTTTAACCTATAATTTATCAAGCAATATTAAAAAAAGAAAGAAAAAATAGACATAACTCCTAACATCAACACTGGCTTTTATTTTTTGACAGCCAGATCTCTTACTTGAAAACATTTCTTCAAATACAGTCTATTAAGACTGTAACTAACAATTACTTTCATGTCAACAAATCACTTATAGTATAATAGAAAATAGTAATAAAAATGCTTGGTATTTAGCACAATATTTTTTACACAATAATTAGGGCTGGACAATTAATCAAAAAATATTACCGAAATTGCAATATGGCCAAGTGCAATATCCAAATTAAAGGAGCTGCAATTTTTTGCTAAAAGTAAAATTGGGGTGCTTACAGAGATGCCCCGGCCTACAAATCATATTCTCCAGACATAAGGGAACATGCTTGTTTGATAAAGTCCCCCATCATCATTTTTATTTTTTTTTCAGTGAAAATGAAATGCAGAAACTACTATTCCAACTAAAATCGTGACTCATAACACAATGGAAACATCTGTCAAAATAATCGCAATATGATTTTTTGTTGCATATCGCTCAGTTCTACTAATAAAATAAAGGACAGATATCTCATCTTGATGACTTACCTCTACAGCATAGCTGACATTCTTTGTCCAGTGACAGAGAGAGAAGTCTTGTAGCTGGGAGAATCTAAAAAACAAGAAAATTAGCTAATTATGCTGAACTACCTATAATATTCAGAACAGTTTTATTTTTAAGATAGTACCTAGGCCTATATTATATATTATAATATAAGCACAAACTAAAAAAGCTCACATAATGTATGTGCCAAGCCTCCTCATAAAACTAATAATACAGACCTGTTCTGTGCCAACCAGTCAATAGTGTCCTTAATCATCTTCTCAGTTTTAGGTAGCTGGTTTTTCCCTGGTGCAATCCAGCAATGACCTACAGTGACCTTACGCCACAGGACCGGACTGGAGGCAGCAGCGTTCCACAGATGACAAACTCTGGCCATCCTTCACAAGATACACAAGAGGAAAAAAATTTTTTAGATTTATTTCAGAATGTATGGTTCTCAAATAACAGGGTACTCTAGCTGGATGATATAGTTTAAATAAACATCAACATACTTAAAATGTATCTCAGTTAATTATTGTTGAGGCAAAATGTCAAAAACTCACTGAAATCAAATGTGAATCTTTGCTTGTTGGTCAGACAAGACGTCACCTTGTGCTAATTTTTCAATATGTTCTGACATTTTATGGACCAAATGATTAATGAAGAAAATAATCACAGGTTTAAACAAGTATTTGCAGTCCTAATCATGATATTGTAAATGCATACGCAATCATACATATAAACATGCCATTGATGTCTAATGCTATGTAAAACTGTTATGCACAAAAACAGATGAAACTCTTCCCATGTATACATTTATTTTGCTAGTATTAATTAAAAAATCTGAATCATTCATTTGGACAACATCATTTTGTAAGACTATAACACGATATGATCAGAATGATATGTTTCCCCTGAAATCTGAACAACAATAATTTTGAAATAAACAATCTCCCAGTCCTATATGTTGTATCTCAGTCAGTTCATAGTATAAACCTCTTAAGTATTCACTAATCCCTGCTACATCAAATCAAACGTGTTTATTACCTGCACAGAAAAGGTACAGCGCCATCTTGGACAACCACCATCTGAAAAATATTGATAAGCACCTCCTCGGGAAGACTTTCACCCCACCTGTGGTCTGTTGCTTTCTGTGGAACAAACAAATTAGTGTCCTTTTTGTCCTTGGCAACTGGAGTATTTGCCAGTTTAGGTCTGGCACGGGCTGTCTTTTTTTTCTTAATATGAACAATTTTCCCTTTTCTTTTAGTTAGCTTCTTCTTTTTGCTTCCCTTCTTTGGGGGAGTCCAGGCTGAACCATCGTACTGAGAAGTAGAACTCGATATGACAAGAAGCATATCTTCCCCTTGATGGACAGTGTAGCCAAGTGGCGCTGGCCTGGAGACTCTGGCCTTTTTCTTCTTCTTGGCTTTTGCATTTTTAGGCTGATCAGCAGTCCTCTTCAAAGATACCCTCTTTGGCTTCGGTCCATCGTCCCCTTGACCTGATGTATTTGATGTGCTTGGTGCAGTGTCTTCTCTTCTGTCACTGTGTGTTAAAGCCTCTGCTTCAGAGGAATCCATCCTGCGTGTGCTGCTAACTAGTCTTTATCACAAGCTTCATTCCAAGAAAATCAGACATTGGCTGACAAATGACAAATCAGCATCTGAAAACAGAATCAGATTAAGATCAGTCTGTATCTGTGTGGATGATTAAATCTCTCCTGTGTGGATAAGAATGTCATGTACTTAATGGGGAGAAAGTAAATATATTAGAGTAACTCAGGAGAATGCAATCATATCTAGTGTCTTACATACAGAACATCACGACTGACATCTTTCTCAAGACTCTTGCAAATGTAGATCAAACACAAAAGCCCAGATGTGAGGTCAAAGTCAAAGCCACAGGGGATGGTACCATATCAGGAGCATCTGTACAATCTTTGGCAATCCAGCAGAATCCTAAAGTGGGTCGGGTGTGCACTGGTACGTGATGAGGAGTTGTTATGCGATTAACTGCACAAATCAGAGAAACTAGCAATTTTCAAAAGCTCAAGATGGAAATATCCCTTCCCCTTGTTTTGGTTGGAAAATACATGGCTGTGTTAACAAAGAGGTGTAGACAGTGATTCACAGGTGTTTATATATATATATATATATATATATATCTGTTTGCATCCGGTTGTGACCACTGCTGCATGGGTGAAGCTTTATCTATGATACATCATTGACTACTTTAATTGTAGTTTTTGCGCTAGACACATCTCGGGCACGTTTTGATGAAATAACTACAGGGATTCCCAGTGGTAAAAACCATCTAACGCTAAGTATGTCCAAATTTGAGGTACACTTCATTAACTTCATTGGTCTCTTTTTGTTCCTAACCTGTGCTGACCATTCGTCGTCCAGGAAACTGAAGGATGCCGAGGATGAATTTGAATTTGAAAGTCTGATAGCTTGGGGGATTAAGTAAGTAAAAAGACTATCAAATAATTTACACATATTACACTACAACGTTTCCTGTTGCGGCAAATATAAACTAAGCATTTACCCATCATATCCATACCATAATATCAATGGCAACGTTAATTTACTCACGTTAGCTAACGTTAGCTAAATGAATCTCTTTGTAAACTAAGCAAACGTTAACTTACTGTGACACAGTTAACAAGTCGCCATGCAACATAACGCAGAAGAACAATGGCATACAACTAAAACAACTTCTGAAATAAAAAAAATCTTAATAATAAGCATTTCGTACTCTGTGTTGCTAATTTACATTACCTGCAGCTAGTTCACCAAAACAACTGACAACCGCCAGCTTCAGTAGTAGACCCACAATGCATTTCATGTCTCCTCTATGATTGGTGGAGACGCAGACAACATCCCGCCTTTTGTAAAACTATCCAATTACTGTCCAGCCCAGTGTTGACGTCGTAGTGTGTGTTGTGTGAACGAACGTGAGTTTCACGTTGGTCCAGTCTCTGGGTAAGGACTTCTTAAATTCTACTTTTACTACTTTGACTTTTTGAATTCTTTGTTACAGCATGCATCACAGCGCTGCTACTCTGGTATTATCACGAATTATTGCAGTTTAATAAGCTGAATTTTCTGCAGCTGAAGTTAGGTGCTAACACTACCAAGTTGCTCAACAAGGCTAACATTAGCATTAGGGACCACAGTTGAAAATTAGCCTTTTGGCTAACATGGGCACATTTACAGTGTTGATCAATGTGCATTGTTCCTGAAAATAAAATAACTAAAACATAAACAATTGCAGATTGTAGCGTTAATGCTTTTATTCTGTACAATTCGGCTCATAGTTAGTGCCAGTGACTAAACCACAGAGCTCGTCTTGGGCTCTTGTGTACATCTTGATTTCCTTTGAAGGAAATAACGTTAAACAAGTTTTATTCTTGCATGTGTACAGTTAGTATAGAATATGCAGGGGTGCTGGGAGAGTTTCCCTTCATTAGCCTGGACCCTCAACTCCCTACAAGGTGGCACAAAATAACACAGATTATATGAATTTTCTAGTTGATTAGGTAGACCATTCTAAAACTAATGAAGTCTAATACAACTACCCTACACTCTGAAAGGTTGAAGCTGGTTTTAGAGAGGTGTTGATTCACCTTTATGGCCATTTTGGAGGTTGTAGTCTGTGGTGCTGCTGTACTTGTTTTTAATATTTTGTCCACCCTATTAATATCAATGATGGTGGACTAAACGTTACAAACACACATCATCATAGTACAATATAATACAATTCAACAGCACCACCTAAACTATTCAAAACTTTTGATACAATTAGCAACATTAAAGTGTGTGTGTGTGTGTGTGTGTGTGTGTGTGTGTGTGTGTGTGTAAATGACCTCTAACTTAGTAAAATGTAAAAAAAATTATTTTCCTGTTTTAGGGAATGAAAGTAGTTATCTTTCCTACAGAGCTACAGTACCGTGTCGCTGTGCATGCTAATGCCAAGGGGTGGCATTTTTCTGCAGCGTTTCATTCTCCAGGACAACTCTGAAAGTATGACACTGTTCCTGTTCAGTTTCATCTCCTTGCTCTTTCAGGAGCACATACTATATGAAACATTGCATTAAATTAATGTGTATTACTTGTTATCAGTGTTATAATGCATTTTGCTTAATAGCATTAGTGTCTTTTCTGTTGTGATGGTTTAATACATTTCTATTAGCAAAACAGCCAGAGTTATAAAAGTGATGGTGGATGGAAAAAAAAAAACACACATCACAATTTAACTATTCAGTTTCACCCTGACTTTAGGCACGATTACACAAGGTTGCCTATTGGCAATAGCATGCAAGCAATTTATCTTACTGTACACGCCCTCTTCTTTAAGTAGTTATGCTTCTAGATGCTGATGATTGAAACTTTTCTACTCTCTGTCTTCAAAAACAGGACATAATGGATGAGGGGGTTGAAGATTTCTCCCTTTGTGGTAAAGTGGCCGTAACTGAAGCTAATCTGAGTAAGTAAAATGGCTATTTAGTAAAGTTGTTATTAATATATATAGACTATATAAGCCAATTCTGTAAATTATAACTTTATTAACAATTCCTTAACATTCCTGTATTTTTATAATATAATCCCCAGACTTCCAGACTACTTTGCATCTGTAGTGGTAACATTGTCATCTATCAGAAAGCAAAAACAAATTTAATTTAATCCAGTACAAACACTTATTTAGTTTAGCAGTCCCCACCTGCAACCTTCCATTCATTCAAAACATTTGCAGCATTACCCTTTGTATACAAGCATTACTTTTCTGTTCACATGCTAACTTTTTCGTTTTTCAGGAGATGAGTACTATTGGAAGCTTGTTGCAGACTTCATTGGTCCTCAATCAGGAGAAGGATTAGAGCTTGAAAAGGCACCATGCAAGAACAGACTTTTGATTCAAGTAGGACTTATGACAGAGGACAATAATTTTCCATGGATTGCCATTGTAGATTGGCTCAAGAAAATTTTCCCCAGTCATCAGTCAGCTGACTTCCGTCGTCTGATTGAAAGAGGTATCGCAACAACACTGAGTCTGGGAAGCGATGCAAGGCTGACGTTCTTGGAATCAGACGTCAACTTTAACTTTGTCGGCCCGATATGTGATAGCATCGGAGTTGAAAGGCAACATCTTTTGGAAATGAGGGATTTTGCAGAGCGAGCACAGTCAATTGAAGTCACGAATGGATTAATTTTTGAGTTGAGCAACTTTGTCACCAGGGAGAAAATTGCACCAGTGGTTTTAGTTACTTGGCTTAGAAACTTCAACCCTGAGTTTTGTAAGAATGGGAATATTCAAAAGGCATATAAAGTCCTTAGAGCCAAGATAAAAAAGTTAAAACTGCATTACCGCAATTATGAAACAAGAAGTCACAGGAGAAATGCAGCGATGGAAAATCTCCTTCAAAGTCCATTTGAACTGGTGCGGAAAAAATCACCTAAATTAATTGTAAGGAAACGCGTGAAAAGAGACGATACCGTAAATTATGAAAAAGTTTCAATCAAGGAGGAATGTGAGAGCTATGACATCATGCAATGTGAGGGACCTGAGATGAACAGAGGAGTTGTGAAGAAATTAATATTGAAAGAACATGTCTCAGAAAGTGATGAGGATTTGAATGCAACCAACAGCGGAGCAGAAACTTCAGATAAAAATGAGTCCCTGACCCTGCTTGACATTGCAATGCTGTCTGTCCAAAAGCTTTCAAGTGCGTATGGTGGGAAAACAACAGCATGCAAGCAAGTTTCCTTAGATCTCCTCAGAAATCATTATACTCTAACATGCAAGGATCATCCAGCCATGGCCGAGTTTGAGAAAAAACTCGACTCACTCTGTGAAGACATTTCACTTGCATCTCCTGTGGTGTTTTTAAACTGCAACGCCAATTTCCTTGTTGACATGCATGATGCAGTTGAGCAGCAGATTATGAACTTTGAAAAGGAGATCATTCTGTCAAGGGGAGAGAAACTAGGCCGCGACAAGCTTCCAAAATTTCAGAACTTTGTGAATTTGTCAGAAAGTGCCACTTCACGCTACATTCACATGACTTGTGATATTTTAAGCCCTCGCACCCAGGATACGCAAAACTACAGAAAACACTGGGTGGCGTTCTGTGAGGAAAAGAAAAATCCCTCCAGACTGGCAGTAAATGAGTCAAACCGATTCAACAACTACTTTGAAGCTGCAGCGGGTGTTATTCACCATCACAAAGAGGTCGCTCTCTTCTTCTCTGATTTACTGTCACTGAACGACAAAAGCCCAAACATTGTTCTGGAAAGTGTTGCCGCTGATGCTAATGATTCTGTGATACAGAGCCTTGTGTGCGTTCTGGCTATTGTTTACTGCAAAATCCTCGGTCCTTACTGGCAACTTCTTAAAAGTGGAGGAGAGTACTCGCACTTCGGCCAGTACACACTCTGTCTCTACCAGAAATTCCTGGATTGGTCCAAAGATCCTTCCACCCTGCTGGAACCTGAAGGGGCCACAAATGTTTTTCGGCAGTACCCTTTGCAGGAGAAAACCTTTCATGGAGTGTTTGACTACTGTGGTCAGTGGCACACAAATAGGGACCTCATCAGAGCTTGCTTGAAGAGGATGGTAAAGGTGATTGCTGGTGTCACTGAGGATCACCTGAAGGATTTCCTGCCAGGAGGAATATTTTCTCAAGTCCCGCCACCAGATTTGAGCGCACAGCTGGTAAGTTGCACATTCTCTGTCTTGATGGCAGATTATCCCTTTTGCCATGTGAACCCTTACAAGAAGACAAGTCCTGAAAAGTCCACCAAACGCTCCTCACACAGCAACCTGTCATCAGAAAGCTCTCAGGAAGATGACACTCGATCGGGTTCACCTGACAACAGCTCCGATGATTCTTCCGGTTGGGAAGCTAAGAGGTATACCAACGCTGGCCAAAAAGATGACTTCAGTCCGCAGTCAAAAAAAGGTAAAAGAGAAAAGGCAGGAAGGCCACCAACTGAGGAGCGCGAGGAGAACATGGATAAGGACTACATAATAGCTACAGTGAGCAGAAACGGAGGGCCATGTAAGTCACAGCAGGATGTTGACAAAATGCTGCTGCGTTTTGATGGAAAACCCAGAGTAGAGAAACGGGAAGCAGTCCGCTGCGAGATACTGTACCATAAAATGATTCTGAACAACACAGACCCAAACTTGGATTGCGTTTTCCAAAACAGCACAAACATGGTGTTGAAGCTGAAGCTCGCACTTCCTCGCGTTAAACCTGGGTACTCCCTTGTTTGGGCGCCAAGAAAGACAAAAGCAACCCCTGTGCGCCGAGACACAACAGATGCTGCAGCTGACAAGATCAAAAGCAGCCACACATGAGCTTTCATTGCATGTAAAAATCTTGATGCTGAGGGACAGAGGATGATAAATGACTTGGAATGACAGGAAAGAATCTGTGTTATCATGTGACTTCCTCATGATTCTTACAAACTAAGCAGAAATACACACATTGACCTCAATCTTTCCACACAAATAATGTATGATTATGTTTGTGGCAGATGTAGCAGCCATGTGTTACGTGCTGTATTTTCAATGCCAAAAATTTAAATGATGAGGATTAATTTTGTGGCTCTTATGATATGACACATTCCTTGATTTGCATGTTCCTGTATTGTAACAATGCTTTTCTAGTAAGTTAACTTTTTTGTTGCAGAAAAGAAAATTTTTGTTAATGCTAGATTGTACCCTTTGTGATCATGCAGAGGTCATATGCACATTTACCACTGACAAAATAAACATCTTTTTCATATTTTGTTGATATTTACTGTGCCGTCCTGTATCATAAACTAGACAAGAGTTCAGTGTTACAAAATCAGCCTAGCATTAGTTCAAGTTCATGGC